CCCCAAAACCCCAAAACCCCAAAACCCCAAAACCCCTTTATTTAAATAAAGGATTGAAGAAACAAGTAAATATTTAATAAACTTAATTTCATCAGGGATCCTCACCACATAAGTATGATCACTAGACAACACAGGAAGAAAACACTTAGGCTCTACTGTACTAACTCAAATGTATCCAGTAGGTCCAGGGTCAGCAGCAAGGTTGTGTCATCCAGGCCGAGAAGAGCCTCACAGCAGGTCTTCAGAAGGAAGTCTCGGAAGGCAGCTAATCAGCTCACCAGGGCTAAGTCTAAAGGATACATGTTCATGCAGGATATTGGCAAGCATATTATCACTGAAATTCAACTCTCTGCAATTAACTGTAGTCTATTATCCCCGCCTAGGAAGGTATTTAATGAAGAAACAGACAAGGAGATGGAGGTAGTCGACGTTGTTATGACTGAAGAAAAGACACCCAAAACAGTCAAATTTGAACAAAATTTGGGACGCTCTCAAGAGAAAACTACCAAAGTCCCAAAAAGAGCGACTAGAAAGTTTCACTTCATCTCAAAAAATGACAAGAGAAGGTCTACATGAACCGTTGTTTCCCAAAAGAATACTAAAAATAACAAGACCACACTTGGAGCTTCAAAATTGAATGCTTACAGAAAGTGAAAAGCTCTAGGCTCTTCACAGAATCGCCAATTAAATCCTGAAGAGACCAGTTTTGGAAGTTCCAGGCCAGGGTCTGTTACTTCTCTCTTCACAGCCTGATCTGTGGGGAATAGCATGCATTCTAGAAATAAAAATGTGAGCACTCTACAACAGAACCCATGTTATTCAGATTTCCCAAAATCAGGCCTTGAAGGTCACAGAGAAATAGTACACGCCATTGAAGAAAAATGTAGTTTTGGAATGACAAATTACAGTAAGAAAACAGAAAACTTGAACATACAAGATTCAATTCACCCAAACAGGAAGATATTCAGGAACATGCCTCTGATCACAGAAATAGAAAGCGATATTGAGATGAGCAAGGAGTCTCTAAAGGACAAATCCTCCGACTCTGACATCTCTACTGCTCCTCCGTACAAAACTGTTTTGAAGAGTTGTCCTTCAAGTGATAAAGTTCCTTCAGCTACAATAACCTTGAAGTGAAACGAGAGTACATTACAGAGTAATTATGCTTCAAATATGAAGTCTGGAAGCAACGCAGTCAAAGATTTTCCATGCTTCGCTACCAAAAATGTGATCTCTTTCAAGAGCATCAAAGATCCGGGACCTATGCCTTACAACCTCATCAAGGGTGATGATGATGAAGACTCTGAATCAGAAGATGTAACCAGGGGCAAAAGACATCTTCTCAACGATCTTGAGGGTCTTCTCGTGCACCTAAAGACAAAGAGGAAAACGAAATGAGGCAAAAGTTGGCATAATTTTATATAAAATAAATTATCTGAATACTCCCAAAGTCAAGCAGAAGGCCAAATCTGCCGAACGTATCACAACCTGACTAGAAGGGGCAGTGAGCTCCTGATGATTTCTAGCCAGTATTTATTAGGACTCAATTTGGGTGAAATAAAAGGGGTTTTGGGGTTTTGGGGTTTTGGGGTTTTGGGG